AAAAAAAAAAAAAAAAAAAATGCCCGTGAGCCTCTCTACCCGGGATCTTGAAGCCAAGGTGGTGGTTGTGTGCTGTCCTCCTCGTAAATGGTGGCAAATAAGTAAGAAGAGAGCAAGCTATCTTCAGATAAATTCAATCTGAGATTCTCCCAGGAGGTGGAAGAAAAGGGCTCCCTTCTGTTGGTTAGTGGTCTGGAGCCCTCTTCGCCTTCAACTGAGCCACAAAAGAATGGAAGACACCCCTGGGGTGGGAAGAAAGCCCTGGTGTAAAAAGACACACGTTTTGCTTTCCGAGAAAAAGCCACTGGGGCCAGATTGAAGCATGGCATGTTCGGTTCATGTAGGGTGGTGTGTGTGTGTGTGTGTGTTTTTTTTTTTAAACTGGGGGAATGATATTGAGTAAACACGATGTCATAGCTGGGTCTTTCAAGTTCTGTAAGGGAAATGTAACAAGCACGAATGTAACAAGCACAAGTTTTGTACATACAGCAGGTGGTCATGGCTTTTACAGAACACAGGCAAAAAAGATACATACAGAAACCCAGCCAAAGGCCAGGAAGGGAGATGATCGTCACCCATCTGAGAGGGAGAGAGACAGAGAGCGCGATTCCTTCTGTGCCAGATGAAGTGTGCTGTTTCCCAGCCCTGTGTCCTGGTGCCCATATTGTGCACAGTCGAGCACGCCACTGAAAGGGTTCTTTTTTTTTTTTAGAACAAGAGAAACCTCCATGTCGAGCTAATTGTGCTGACTGGAAGTCGGACAAAATGGAAGGATCTGAAAAAAACAACAACTGCCACCATTACCTCCTAAAAAGGCTCTCTCTTGTTTGCTTGTAACTCTGAAGACCAAACTCTCAGTGGAGGAGCCGTGAAGACTCCCAGCAGAAGCACTCCCGAGTGCTTTATTTTAAAGCGGACTGGTGAATGTCTGCAAAGCGGACAGAGGAGGTTTTCCTTTGAAATCTCAGTGTCCCCTTGCATTAACTTCCGTTGAGGAAGCCATTGTTCTCTGTGCTAGGGCGCCCGTGGGATGGACACTGTAAAAGATCTTTTGCTCCTGGAGACTTTTCATGCAAATGAGTTGAATTACTGTCTCACATGAGAGTTCTTTAGTTTCAGCCTGTGCCTGTGCCACGATGCCCGCGTTGCAGCGCGTCTCGGCCCAGGTTTGGGAAGACCCATGCAGTCGGCAGATTTTTGCCAACCACAGCATCGTGTTTGCCAGTGTTACAAGATGATGAAATTGAAACTCTCATCTTCTGGAAGCCAGAGAACAATGCCACCCAACACACTCTGTGCGTTGAGTTTCACCCTTGCCTGGACTTGATTTCATTTGAGAGGAAGCCTTTTCCTTCTTCTGAAGGTAGGCCGTTGTTAATCTGCATGTAAAAAAAAAAAAAATTATGTGCATTGAAGAGCGTACAAGGACCTGCTAATCGGAGATCCTGATAGGCTGGCGCCCTGTTACAATATATGGAATTTGATCGTGCAGATGTCCGAGGAAGGTCATGGGTTGGTTTGAAATCTTTTGTACTTAAAGTGCTCTCTTGCCCCTCCCCCACTCCCTCCATAGCCCTGAAAGCTTAGGGAAACAGCATTTAAATGGTTACAAGAGTTGTGCCCCCTAAACCAAAGTCTAACTTGCTTATCCTAGGAATCCAGCTGTGCAGCTGCCCCACGGATTTGTAATGCCAAAGACTTGGGGGGGGGGGGGGCTCTGTCAAGCCCAGTCTCTTGGTCAACCCTTGGCTGGGGGAATTCAGTTTCACGGCCCCACTCACCATTTGCACAAAAGACAGGAGCTAGCATTGCATCTGCTTTTAAACCAGAAACAACCAAAAAGTAAAAGATAACCATTTCTAGCAGATTCTCTCGTTTCTATTTTTACAATGAGGGCTTCAGAGAAACCTCTTTGGCCAGATAAACTGATAGTTAAAAAAACAAAACAAAGCACCCATCTGAACCCATTTTGCAAAATCATTGAGTTTCACAGCCACAGAGACAGCTTCTGAGTTGGGGTTGGGAGGCACGACCACTCTTCCAAAACAATCCCTACAAAAAGGTCCATTCTAACATTCTGCATATGCAAGACTACCTTGTATACCGTTCTGCTTTGAGCAACAGTAAAATAGTAATTTGACTACAAGAATGAAGTAAAACTATTATCTGAGTACAGTAGATAAGGACAGGACAAAGAAAACATACCCTTCTCATGCCAAACAGAAACCAAAGGAATCCCAAGCCCTTTGGGATTTTTGTTATTGATGTTTTTATTGCTAACACGGAAAGCCTTGCGTTTCCTCCGGTGGATCAGAGAATCCCAGCTTCGTTTTTTTTTGCTTTTTGTTTTTATGTAATCTTTTGTGGTTGGAAGCCAGCTCTGTAAAAGCCTGTAGCCACCATGCTTTCCCCCTCCTTCCACTCTGGAATTGGGAAATTCCTCGGCTAGGCAGAGCACACAAAAGGTGTGTTCCTGGAGGGAGGGGGGCGTGGAGAAAAGCCTGTTCTTTATCTCCCCGTCAAAGGCCTTGCAGGCTAACCCCTCAATTGCAGCGGCTGAAGGTTTTGAGCTGCACTTTTTTTTTTTTTAAGCTCAAAACCAAGATAGGCCTAGGTATGTGTAATTTGTAGAGGGTTTAACATGTAACATTTGCTAGCCTGTTTTTAAAGGAATCATTGCAATATTTAACCCTAGAAGAGTAAATTGAATGATTTGTAGCAGATGTGTAGATGGTCACATCCAAGTCGAGGAGCATTTCTTATTAAGAACAGCAAACTTGATAGAATGGAGATTTTTGTTTTCATATGTATTTTCAAGAACATACCCCTAAAAGAAGTCATCGCCAGTTTTTCATTGTTAACCTCCAGAACTGAACTGAAAAACAGATCTCACACTTTCTGTGGGAACACCTCCTTCCCTTTCCAGAGCTTCAGCCCAGAACACCCCCCACCCCTCCCCACCCACCCCCAGTAAAGGCCTTTGACTAGAAGACCTGAAGGACGGGGGGCTTATTCCTAGTGGGCAGCACTTTAGGGGGCTTCTAAATGTTTGAATGGCCTCAGGCCCTGAGGAGTGACTAGATACATTAATTCTTAGCTCTGCCTATCTGGCAAATCAGTGATAGCTGGCCATATTCAAAGGAAGAAGAAAGGTGAGGACAAGAGAGGAGGTGATGATGTCTGGAAGCTCTACCCCGAAGCATCAGAGAGTCAGAAGTTTGGGGCTTTAGGGAAAGTTAAGAGTTCTTCTGTTCAGAAATGGTGGTGGGAAGAACTCTGCTGAGAAAGATAGACGCTCCTCTGCCCTTTGCTTCTGACTCCCGTGACAAGAACCCATGCTCCAGCTTGTTTCCAACTACTGAGTCTAGGAGGAGGGAATGAGAAAGTGTGGAAAGCATCTGAGGGAAGAAAACGCCATGGGGCTCCATCCGTGTATATGACACCACCCTCCCACCACCCCAACCACCAACCCCTGTCCTCTACCACCATCAGAAAGCCTTGGGGTTCCCAGGTTTCAAGCCTCAGAGTCTTAGTTCCTTCCTGGAGGGGATCTTAGGGGTGAATCTCCTGCAGTGAAGACCATGCCTGGTCACTGTGTTGTATCTTCATCTTAACCTCCTACTTGCCCCTGCATCCGTCCATACCATCTGCAGATGCCACAGTGTTCTGTGCATCCCGTGGGTGGCATGACATCATTCAGTCCTCAAGCACCTAAAAGTAAACATGTTCTCAGTAAAACTAAGGCCTTCTGCCATGGGCGTGGCTGCTGTCGGGTTTTGTTTTCCTCGGGGTGTACACTTCTAGCCTCTAGCTGCCGAGAATGTGGGGGGGACGGGGACCTGAGTGCCCTTGCTGGCCTTACACATACACATCACAATATCCAGCTTTTTATGTGGGTTCTGAGGTGCAGGAGCTTGGACCTTCAGGCTTACACAGCTGCCACTTGGAGCCCCTGAGCATCTCTCTAGACACTTCCGGGAATTCTGACTTCTGGTCCCTCACTGCAAATTGCCTCCATCTCTGGTTAATGACAGTCCTTGGGAACTGTCTGGCAAGAGGGTATAGAATACATTCCCCCGGGGAAACCAAAGTCAGAGTAATGAGTACTGGGAAGACTCGGCCCTCTGGGTGCGTTTGACCCCACCTCGTTCCAAGAGCCATCTAGTTCCAGAGCCCTGTCCTTGAGGCCTTTCCCCATGGCCGGCACTGGGGGTGAACTTCTTTCTAATCCTGCCTTGGGCACTCCCCGACAGATGTGATCCAGAGGTTGTTGGATCGATCCTCCTTTTCCAGGTAATTATAGTTCAAGGCATACAGTCTCAGAAACAGCTCTCACTGGTTATATCCTTCCTTCTCTCTTATCCACTCCATCACCCCACCCTGTTGATTACAGTCCAACTGTCCATGTCCGTTGCCCACCTTCAACCTCCAGCCCCCCCAGTCAGTTTAGATATGATCACTACCAGCTCTCCTCATCCCCAGCCTGGCCAGCTTCCATAGCAGCCTCCACGCTGATGCTCTGGGAGTCTTTCTAAAGACACCATCCCCCCATCCCTCTGCTCAGACCTTTGCACGGCTCCTCATTAGACTGTAAACATAACTTAGGAGGGCTTCTATCCTGTAACCCATCACAGGGCCTCCCTTGCCTCATCCGCTGAACACTGTAGGAACCGGGCTTGGTGAACATTCCGTTCTTTGAATGTGACCTCCTTCTCCTTGCTGTCAAGTCTACACATGTCATCGTTCCCTCTTTCTGAAAGAGTCTCTGGCCTTCTCCACTTTTGTCTGAGTAACGCCTGCGTATCTTTAGGTCTAAATGGATGTCATTCCCAGAAGCCCTCCCTGGCTCCTCAGCTTTGGAGCACTCCTAACATACACTCACTCCTAAGTCCCTTTTTTTATTTCATGTGTTTTGTCTACATATATGTCTGTGCACCAAGTATGTGCCTGGTTCCTCTGGAGGCCAAAAGACGGTATCAGATCCCCTGAAACCGGATGGTTGCAAGCAGCCATGTGGGTCCTGGGAATCAAACCTGGGTCCTCTGGAAGAGCAGCCGGTGCTTTTAACTGCTGAGCCATCTCTCTAGACCCACTAATTTGCCTTTTTACATGGTATGTAAATTTTCTATAACTGTCACTATGAGTCAAGAAGCCTGTTAAGGACAGAGATGATGACATGATGGGTCACATTGGATCCCCCTCCACACACGCCACTCTCCACAACTCCATGAGATCACAATTAGCTTGACATTTTAAAGTAGTCATTTGGAGCATTAGATTAGCACCTATAGAGGTTGTGTTTTGTTTTGTTTTCTGCTAGTATTGAAAGATAAAAGATGAAGGCTTGGTGGTGGTGGCGCATGTCTTTAATCCCAGCACTTGGGAAGTAGAGGTAGGTGGATCTCTGTGAGTTCCAGGCCAGCCTGGTCTACAGAGTGAGTTCTAGGACGGCCAGGACTACACAAAGAGAAACACTATCTCGAAAAAAGATAGGAGGATGGATGGATGGATGAATGGATGGATGGATGAGTGGGTGGGTGGGTGGGTGAAGATGATCAAATCCTTTATAATTTTCTGCTAAACTTTTTGATAAATATTTGAAATCTATTTTGAGGTTTTCTTAAGGAAATATTGGCTACTTCTAGACTTTTTTCTTTTGTTTTTCCTGGGGTCTCACTGTGGGCTGGGGTGACATTGGAAGCAGTAGGTAGTAATAAGACATGGGGAAAGAGCTGAGTCTGCGAAGTGTCTGCCACACAGCATGAGGGACCTGAGTTCGGTTCCCTAGCACCCTGGGAAAAGCTGAGTCTGTAATCTCAAGGCTGGTGGGATCGGGGACAGAGAGGAGGATCTCTGGGGCTCCATGGTCCACCAGCCTGGCCAAAGGGATGGACTCGGGTACAGCAAGCCACCTTGTCTCAAAAAGAGTAAGACCCACGCGTGGTAGTGTACACCTTTAATCCCAGCACTCAGGAGACAGAGACAGGCAGATCTCTGTGAGTTCGAGGCCAGCCTGTGAGACTGAGTTCTAGGTCAGTCAGTGAGAGCCTGTTTTAAAAAAAAAAAATGAACACAGTAAGGAACCACGTGTAAGACCACATGGGTTTTCCCAGCTATAAACCTACAGTTTTCGAGGGCTCTCACAGGAAACCCATTTACAGGGAGAGATATGTTTGAGCCCCACGTGCAACCTCCAAGGCACTTCCCGAGCCGTCCTGAATCTCTTTTCTGTGGCAATAAAAAGAGAAAAGTTTCTGTTGGCTCCGTGTGAGGGTCGTGTGAGGGTAGTCTGTCATGGTGGAGGACACATAGCTTCAGAGCCCGAGGCAGGAAGGAGAGAACAACTCTGGCCCTCAGCGCTTGTTCTCCTTTTCAAGCCCCAGGACCACAATCCATGGGATGGTACCACCCGCAGTTGAGATGGAGCGTCTTACCGTACAAACCCAGCCTCAAATTTCCCTCACAGACTCCCAGAGGTTGGAGTTGTCTGGATCCTGGAAGGCTGACCCTCAGCATGGCTGAGGGTCAGTCTTCCTTGTCAACATGACTGAATTTGGAATCCTTTAGACTCACTGGGTACCATGGTGCAGTCGGGAATCCCTGCAGTTGGGAGGTGGGCACAAGAGGATGAAATCCTCACCTACACAGCGAGTTTGGGGCCAGCCTGAACTTCATGAGACTCTGCAGGTCCCCCTACCCCACAAAAAAACAGACAGAAACTGGGGCAGGGGTTCTGGTGAGACGTGTGTCTTGGTACATCTGTGAAGGTGTTTCTAGAGAGGACTAACTGGAGTTGGGAATACTCACTAAATGTGGGCAGGTTGTTTTGTGGGCTGAGGCCGGGACCAAAGAAAGTGAAAAGGAGGAAGCCAGCTGAGAGCCAGCAGTTTTCTTGTTTGTTTGTTTGTTTGTTTTTAATCAACCGTTCCATCCTAGCACTGAGAAAAGTACTGACCCACCATAACATCCTCGGCCCAGACACCCGAAGAGTCTAGGCTTCTGCCTCCCCTGACAGAGTGCTAGCTTACAGATGTGATATGAGCCGCCACACCTGGCTTTGCACAGGGTTTAGATCGAACCCAGGACATCGCGAATGCCAAGCGAGCATTCCACCTTTTGAGCTCCATCCGCCAGCTGTTTGTTTTTGTTTTATGAATCAGAGTCCTTGAATTCATACCTATCCTTCTGCCTCAGCCTCCCCAAGTGCTCCAGACATGAGCCATCATGCCAAGCTTCTCACCTTTGAGTACGTTTGTCCTAGATACTAGGTCAACTTGACTGTAACATATTAATAGATATAGATAGATAGATAGGTAGATAGATAGATAGATAGATAGATAGATAGATAGATAGTATATTCACCTGTTAAGCTACCCTTAAGTACTCCTATCCTGTACTTTGTACAATCATTAGGATACTGGCAAAAGGGATTTTCTATAAGCCTTTGCTGATGCTGCCCACGAGTTATAAGTCTACCCTTATAACCAGTCCTTCTGACTCCTGTGTTCTCAACATAAATTACTAAGTTAAAAGGAATACAGTGGCTGATGAGATGACTCGGAGGTTAAGAGCATGTACTGTTTTGTTTCAAGCACTCATCACCACCTATAACTCCAGCTCCAGGAAATCCACACCCTCCTTCTGGCCCCCCTTGGCACTGTACTCATGTGTACAAAACACACACACACACACACACACACACACACACACACAATCTACACATAATTAAAATAAAACTTTTTTTTTTTTTAATGAAAAGGAATACAGCCCCTCTCCCTTGGCACCTGAGATAAACCTCTGGCTGGTGATGGCTACCTTCCTCAATGAAGAATTATCTGGTGGACGCTGCGCGACTATGGAGGCCCTTCTCACACCTCCCGTTTCTTAGCTTCGGTGACATCTTCGCTCCTTCCATAGGCTCTTCCCACTCAGCCTCTCCTCTTGGCTCATTTTCTGCATTCCTCTCTGAAATACAGATTGTGCTCCAGGTTCTATCTTTGGCTCTCCTCATTCCTAAATCTGCATTTCTTAAAGGAATGCGTTTGCTCTCTCGGGGCTTCAGATGTAATTGGATGACTCCCAAAATCTGGATTTTTAGATATGATCTCTGTTCTAATCCTACACGGGTAAGGTGCCAAGTAACATATATGTCCCCCAACCACACAACTCAGGAGGTCCAAAAGGGCCTCTTGCTCCACCACGACCTGTCATTCAAGGTCATTCCCATCTCTTCCCTTCACACTCAAGGGGTAAATGCACATTCCTTCTGGCAGCTTCCTTAGCACCCTTGCCGTTCCTCGACAAGTCAAAGTTTTTTGGTCTTTTGGGGTTGTTTTTTTTTTTGGTTTGTTTTTCAAGACAGGGTTTCTCTGTGTAGCCCTGACTGTCCTGGAACTCACTCTATAGACCAGGCTAGCCTTGAACTCAGAGATCTGCCTGCCTCTGCCTCCCGAGTGCTGGGATTAAAGTCATGCACCACCACACCCAGCCTCCAAGTCAATGTACGGAAGCCATTTTCCCCACCTGAGTTCTTTTGTTGTTGTTGTTTATTTAGTTTTTTTAAGACAGGGTTAGTAGGCCAGGCTAGCCTCAAACTCACAGAGATCTGCCTGCCCCTGCCTCCTGATGGGACTAAAGGCCACCACATCCAGCACCTCCCTGAGTTTTTACACTGACTCCTTAACTATCATACGGTTTTCACCCAACTGCTCTTCATCACATAGCCCTTAGGTAACCAGAGTTTGTGTGTTAAATGTGGGCTGAGACTGTAGCTCAGCTGCACACCTTTAGCAGAGAGGAGGTTCCAGGGCCAAGCATTACACAACAAAGCCAAGTAGAACAAGAAGCTGGGCCTGGTGACGCGTATACACTATCCAAGCACCCAAGAGCTAGAAGCACACTAGGGATGTAGCTCAGTTGGTAGGGTGTTTGCCTAGCATGCACAAATCTCTGGGTTCAATCCCCATCGCCATATAACCTGGGTGTGGTAGCCCGTGCTTGTAAAGGCAGGAGAATCAGAAGTCCAAGGTTATCCAAGGTTATCCTTGGCTACAGAGTGCTTTAGGGCCAGCAGGACTTCAAGAGATCCTGTCTCAACAAACTTTGAACATATTTATACTAAAGAAATCATTTATTGTTTATTTGAAGTTCTGATTGAACTGGTCACCTTGGGGTTTTGTTATTGTTTGTTTGTTTGTTTGTTTTTGTTAAACATGGAAACCCAAGAAATAGTTTCTGTTCAATTCCTTTCTCTCCCATTTGAAGGCACACGCTGTGAGGGTGCAGACATGGTCTGTTAGATCTGTTGCTCTGAATTCCCATCACCTACCGTTGGGCCTCATCCGGCTTGGCCAAGGGTAAGCATCCACAAGTTTTGAGGATTGAAGGTAGACTGCAGAAGGCAAGCCACACTGGCCGAGGTATCAGCAATAACCAGGCAATCCATGCCACATTCCCTTCTAGCCTCCACTGGCTCCTCAGAAATTTCTCAGTTGCCGTGGGGATTCCCAAGGACACACACATACTGCTTTCTGGTCTTCTACCAGAACATGCTGAACTACTGAACTCCAGCAAATGACAGTTTACAATCTCACCAACGCAAGTCAGCATAGAGCCAGAAAATTGGCCCTGAAAATTATTTTGGTACCCCTTTCCTCTCCCATCTTGTCTTGCTGAATAGTCTCACCTAGAAGCCCTGCATTTCTGGCATGGAGCCGCTCTGTTCGTCTAAGCTGTGACAGAACTGTGATCATTGGATACTGTCCTCGACAGCTAGCCTTTAAAACACTTGCAGGCATTGAGGTGATAAGTAGGACAGCCTTGCCCAGGGTTCTGACAACTGAGTATTGTCAGCTCCGACTCGGTTACTTAGGGAGGACTTTTGAATCGTCTCCCAATCATTCATGAGTATTTAGCCAGCTTAATAACTCCTGTGACTCGAGGTATTCTTCTCATGGCCACTTTCCCCAAGGCAGAGAGCCAGAGATGGGGTAAGAGACCCCCAGATCACCTCTTTTGATTCGTTAGTTTCTTGCCACCATGTGAAGCTTTAAAAGTCTCATTCCAGAAGAAAGCCAAGTTTTCTTTTTCTTCTTTCATTCCTGGAGGAGTGGGTTGGGGGTGGGGGTAGGTGGGACATGGCACAGCAGCAGCCTTTACAGAAATAAATGCCATAGATGGTGTGACTTTCCCCCCCTTAAAAATCTCCTTTAAGGAACTGAAGAGATGGCTCAGTGGTTAAGAGCACTGGCTGCTCTAGCAGAGGACCCAGGTTCAATTCTCAGCACCCACATGGTGGCTCAAAACTATAACTTCATTTCCAGGGAACCTGGCATCCTCTTTTGGCTTCCTTGGTGCACACCTTAATCCCAGCACTCAACAGGCAGAGGCAGGCAGATCTCTGCAAGTTCAAGGCCAGCCTAGTCTACAGAGCAAGTTCCAGGACAGCCAGGGCTGTTTCACAGAGAAACTCTTGTCTCGAAAAACCAAAAAGAAAAAAAGAAAAAGGAACAACAACAACAACAACAACAAAAAGATGGCTAGGCCAGTTGGAACTGTAGTTTAGATATTCCTTATACTGGGCTATTTTTCACTGGGCCTGTTGTGAATCCATTAATTTCTCTTTAATATATCATTATTTCTTTGTTTCCCTTTTTCTTTTTTTCCCTCCTAGAACTCCATATGTAGACCAGGTTAGCCTCAAACTCACAGAGCTCTTCCTCCCTCTGCCTTTCTAGTGCTGGGATATGGTGATATTTTATTTGTGCTGAAATGTGATTTTATTTGTATGTTAATAAATAAAAGTGCCTGGGGGTCAGAGCTAATAGCAAGCCATTTAGCAGACGTCTGGCAGTGTTAGCACATGCCCTTAATCCCGATCACATGACAGGCAGATCTCTGTGTGTTCAAGGACACCACCAGCATGGAGACACATGCCTTTAATCTCAATACCAACCATAGAGCCTGGAGGTCTGTATAGACAGGCAGTGACGAGGAGGTCATGTGGTTGGGTTTACAACCAATGAAAAGGCAGAACAGAAAGTCAATAAAAAGACAGCCACACAGGAAGTAGGTCTCTGTCAGAGGGGAAGGACAACAAGGGGTAAGAAGGTGATCTTGGTCTTAGCTCTTGGCTGCTGCTCGATCTCTGGGCTTTTAACTCTGCATTTGGCTCTGTGTTTCTGATTTAATAAAACCGGTCAGAATTACGTCTACACTGGGATTAAAGGTGTGTGACGCTGTACCCCTCCTCCTCCTTTTTCATTTATTTATGGGTGTGTGGGCATTCTCGGGGATGTGAGCAAGAGCTAAGGGGCACACAGAGAAGTCAGAAGACAACTTTGTAGAGTCTGTTCTCTCTCTTCCTCTTTACAAGGGTTCTGGGAGCTGTACTCAGTTGTCAGGCTTGTTGGAGCAACTGCCTTTACCCACAGGGCTATCTTTCTAGCTTCAGCTCCTTTTCTGAACAGCCATTGAAACCCAATAGTTTGCAAGAAACAAGATGGAGCCATCTTGAATCAGTTTGCAGCTGCCATTCCCTCCCCCATCCCCAACAGATGCCCAACAGGGCCCATGGCTTCCAGGAGTTGGAACACTGGGGACCCAGTCAAGGCTTGTGTTGTGGTACACCCACTTTTGCAAAAAGAAATTGCTTTGCTGGACGGCTTTCCCTTTGTTCGGCGTTTCTTTGTGGGACATTGAGATTGTTCCCTTCCCAACAGTGGCATGTGTCTGTGATCCCAGCGCTCGGAGAGGCGAAGGCAGGAAAGGCAAAAGTTTCTGAGCTAGAGGAAACATTCTAAATAAACCAGAACCAGGGTGGGGGGTGGCTCAGCAGGAGAGGATGTGTGCTGCCGACACCCACCACCTGAGTTTGATCCTTATATGGCAGAAAGAGGACTGACCCCCCCCCCCAAGTTGTCCATGGACCTCCGTGTGTTTTGTGGCATGCCTGGGTGCTCCCCAGTAAATACAGTTATGTGTGATACAAATAAATACAATAAAATTTAAAAAGGAAAGGCAAAACCAGGGCTGGGGAGATGATAGCTCAGTGGGTCCCATGCAAACATGAAGACCTTGGTTCGAATCCCCAGAAGCTACTGAAAGCCAGGCAGAGTCGTGCATCTGTAACCCCAGCCCTCCGACTCCCACGGCGGTGAGATGAGAGATGGAAAGGAGAAACCACACAAGCTTGTGGCTCAGCCAGCTTGGCATACACTGGGGGGAACAGCAAAGAGACCCTTTTTCAGACAACGGGGAAGGCATGTACAGACACTGGAGGTTATCCTTGTATGTGCACACATGCCAGCACACTCCCACATGTGAACATTTTCACATATATTAATGCACACATGTCATAGGTCGGACACACACACACACACACCAAACAAACAAACAAAAAATCCCAAACCCAAAACAAAACAAAACAAAATCTCAGGCATAGAGCATGCTGGCACATACCTGTAATCCTGGGATTTGAGAGATGGAGGCAGGATGTTTACGGACAGGTTCAAAGTCATTCTCAGCTACACAACATGTTTGAGGCCAGTCTGGGATATAAGAGATCCAGTCTCCAAAAGAAAAAAATAAATAAAAAAATTTTAAAAAAGGAAGGAAGGAAGGAAAGAGACAGACAGACAGACAATAAGAATGAAGAAGGTGGTTGACACCAGGGAGATGGCATAGAGGGTCAAAGTGCTTACCATACAAGCCTGACGGGATGAATTCAGATTCTCAGAACCCAAGTAAAAATGTCGATGTGGGCCGGGCGGTGGTGGCGTACACCGTTAGGTCCAGCACTGGGGAGGCAGAGACGGGCGACTCTCTGCGAGTTGTAGGCCAACCTGGTCCGCAAAGCGAGTTGAGTTCCAGGACACCCAGGACTGTTACACAGTGGTCCTGGAATTCACTCTGTAGCCCAGGCTGGCCTCAAACTTAGAGACCCTCCTGCCTCTGCCTCCCAAGTGCCGGGATTAAAAGCGTGCGCCTCTACAGT